CCTATGTTCTAGTACCCCTATGTTCTGATGCCCATATGTTCTGATGTCCCTTTGTTCTGATGCCCCTATGTTCCAATGTACCTATGTTCTGATGCCCCTACATGTATGTTCTAATGTCCCTATGTTCTAATGCCCCTATGTTCTAATGTCCCTATGTTCTGATGCCCCTATGTTCTGATGTCCCTATGTTCTAATGTCCCTATGTTCTGATGCCCCTACATGTATGTTCTAATGCCCCTTTGTTCTAATGCCCCTATGTTCTAATGTCCCTATGTTCTGATGCCCCTATGTTCTAATGTCCCTATGTTCTGATGCCCCTATGTTCTAATGTCCCTATGTTCTAATGCGGGTCAAGGTTATTGGGAAACAGGGGAGTTTGAACATTAGAGACAACAATTTCCCAAATTCTCCAGTAAACTGTAAAGTGGTCAATGAACAGAAGAACATATCTACCTTGTAAAAGTACTTTTTGGCTGCCCTGTGTAGGAGGACTTGTACCAGGAGAGCTGGACACACGTATAAGCCCACAATCAGCTCTGTGTGTGTGTACCATGTCATGTATCGCTCCAGCCTGAAAAAATAGATAAATACAGACATTCATTGGTGGCGTTGGGTGGTGTAGTGGTTAGAGCATTCGACTATGAAGCGGGGAGACCCGGGTTCGATTCCGGGTCGTACCCGGGACATGTCTGAACATGCGCCCGACGTTGTGCCCTTGGGAAAGGCACTTTACACAGTCAAATTTCCTCACTCCACCCAGGTGTGAACGGGTACCTAACTTCGGTTGGGGAAAGTCGTATTGAGGTCACATTGTGGCGCCGAATGGCAGCCGCACAGACCCTTGCGACAGTTCCACAAAAATTTGCGGAACAAATATATGTATCATGTGTATTATTATTTGATTGTTGTGATTTATATTGATTATGTGATACCCTGCATCAATTCAGCCGTATAAAGGCTGCGAGTGCACGGGTACTGTTTGGACAATAAAAAAACAATAAAAAACCATCACATATTAATCTTAGATAATCTAAAATTTGCATCAAAACGGTATAAATTCTTCTCTGTTCTTCACTTATGAACTGTGATAAGGGGGGGATACAAGCTACATGTAAGTCATGCTTAGGACTGCAGTCTTCTTGCTGCAGTGCCACCTAGTGGCAAGAAGTAGACTGCATCAGTTACTGAGTTACTATTAATAATAATAATACTAATAATAATAATAATAATACTATCTAGTACTATTGAGAGAAGGTAGCAAAAGTACATGTACAATGTACTACTGAAACATTGGCAGTCAAATCTGAAAGAACTAACATTACAGCTTAACATCTGTGTCCATAATATCACCAGGGTCCATAATATCACCTGAGAAACAGTGTGCTTAAAGATATTTTTACTGCAACATACTTTTGGTATGCACTCCTTCACACATCAAATGTACATACCTAGAGCATGTTGCAGTAAAAATATCTTTAAGCACACTGTTTCTCAGGTGATATTATGGACCCTGGTGATGTTATGGACACAAATGTTACATCTCTAGAGCTTATTCTGTTTTAAAATGCAGAATTTTGTTTAAAAATGAACCTGAGAGTCTGCAAGCAATTTCAATACAATGAAAGATCTTGCCTTGTCATAAAGAAGGCGACAGCTATCACTGTGAGAACAGCTGTGATCCAGCCCAAGATCAGCACCAGGACAGCACAGAATAGCTGTCTCAGGTACAGCAATCCTGATGAGCCTGCATTTAGGTGAACAGCAAATTTAACATTGCTACACTTACAATAGCTATTGTAACAGTTGTACTTCATTGGCTCCATTCAAGAATAACATTAGGACGACAGCAAAACTTCAAGTTTGGGTGCAAATTTTGTATTTGATACCAGAAAAAAAAATCCTTTTCTTCTTTGTCTTCCTTCCTGAAACTAACAGTTTTTTCAACAAACAAATTTATCAATTCATTATTAATATTTGAATTCTAAACCATTTGGGGCTCTTACAGGATACTTTTAGTCCTGTTTTTATTTTAATTTTTTTGACAACCCACTTTATTGATTTTCTGCAAAAAATCTGAGAACAAATAAATCAAAATTTTTGCAGTCTTGAGTAAAGTGGGGTCATGTGGCGCAGTCGGTAGCGTGTTCGGCTCACACCCAAGAGGTCGTGGGTTCGAATCCTGCCCACATCACTGATCTTGTCCCCTTGGGAAAGGCACTTAACACAACTTTCCTCACTTCACTCAGGTAGAAAAGAGTACCTAGCTTCGGTTAGGAACGTCCCTCGGATAGGACGTTCAATGGAGGTCCCGTGTTTGGGGAGAGCCACACCCCACACACATTAAAGAACCCACCGCACTTACATGTATCAAAAAGGGTAGGGGACCTTCTTGGTGTGAGTGGTTCAAACCTTACAGTTACGCAGCTTGTACATGTATAACACTGGTGTGTTACACCTAAAGGTGGTTTACCGGTTATGCGAAACAAACAAACAAAATACCTCCAGTCCTACTTGGCTTCAGCTTGTACATGTATGTACATGTGTAACACTGGTGTGTTACGCCTAAAGGTGGTTTACCGGTTATGCGAAACAAACAAACAAAATACCTCCAGTCCTACTTGGCTTCAGCTTTTACATGTATGTACATTGTGTAACACTGGTGTGTTACGCCTAAAGGTGGTTTACCGGTTATGCGAAACAAACAAAGCAAGGACAGAATCATACCTCCAGTCCTGCTTGGCTTCAGCTTGTACCCAAAATACACCAGGGTAAACAGAACAGCCAGGCAGTTGATGATGATGGCCACATGGTGAGGGTACACCACCATGAACTGACCAATCACGTCAAAGAACACAGTTTTGCCATGGCGATACTCCCCTGGGTAGGCCAGGTAGGGAGAATTGACCAGGTGCTGGACAATGGACAGCAGATTTTCACCTGTGAATAGAACAATGGAAAATATAAGCCACATTTTACAAATCTGAAGAATTTTGAATACTTAGGGATGGTCCAGGAAAGAGAAAGTTGCAGGCAAGACAACGGTTTTACAAAGTGTCTGTCAGCAGTTTTTCAATTTTCTGTATTCAAAATGACTGCAAAGCAATAATTATCCTTGAGTAAAGAGACTCTTTTTACACAACCAAGTCTTTTATTCAGCCGACGTTTCGATGACCGTCAGTCACCTTCCTCAGGGCAATTCTGACTGGTTCACGTTGCATTGCAGCACAGGTGTCACTGCTATAGATGCATTCCCAAGTGTACAATCTCTTGGAATCTCCTGTCGCTTGCGACAGATGAGTAGGCGTATATACAGGTCCTCATTTGCTGATGTGGGTCCTCCAAGTGTACAATACAGTATTCACATATCTACGTCAGATGAATAAAAGACTTGGTTGTACAAAAAGAGTCTCTTTACTTAGTGTCTTATCAATCTTGTGACTAGTCAAAAGCTCTAGGTGAGAGAACTTCTTTGTGTTGGATCTAAAGTTTTAACTTTAAACATGTAAGTACAAATGTACCAACACGGATGAACTTTCATGATATACTTTCTCTTGTTCCCTTGCCCCATATTTTCATTTTGATGCAAGGGGGCAGGGTTAGTATGTGCACTGGTCATATAAGAGTATACAGTCACTGCAGGTACGTGTGTATCAGTGTAGGGCAACACCAATTTAATTCGTTGGTTCTCGGATTGGCCTCTTCATTTTTTTCTGATTTGAAAAAAAAAAAGATAATCATTCTGGTTCTGAATCAACTGAAATATGCTCATATTTTGCCCCCAACAGTTGAGGAAAGTCCTTTCCTTCCTAGTTGTTACAGTTTTTCCATCTATCAATGCAGTGGTTTGATTAAAACTTCAAAATTCATTGTTTAAATGAAAAATAAAAACCCAGCTTTTTGTGTTTACTTCACTGCTCCTATTGTAGCATTTGGGGCTATGATAGGATGCCTAGACCTGTTTTTATTTTCATTTTTTTTGCCCTGTCGCTTGATATTTTTCTGAGAAAAATCCGAGAACCAACAAATTAAATTGGCGTGGCCTAAGAAAGAAAAACCTTAAGGCTAGCATTACCTGCCCTTTGTATGCAGCCAGGAGGGATCTGGTCAGGTGAGTCATACTTCAGGTGATACACATATCCATTGTCCATGTACGCTATGTCAATACCTGTACAGGGTCATCAACAATTAGAAAAAAAATTCATACATGAAAATGTTTTACTGGTACCAGTAACATCAATTGTACTGCTGTTTATTTGATATGACAACTGATTTTAAAGCAAAATCTTAAGTGAAAGAAGATATCACAGATAGAACTTGAGTTGATCTACTCTTTGTATTAACTGTCATACATGTAATTGAAAATTAGAGACAGAATACAAGCTGAGCCAAAAGATGCCTTAAAATTTGCTATATATGTACAGAATTAAATGTAGGTCATCTCTGAACATTCTATGACCATATACAGGGCTTGAAATTCATTTTTGGGAATAAGTGCGCTAAAAAATTGGGTCCACCAAACTTTTTTGGGGTGCACCATATAAAATAAAATAAGTAGAATGCCAGCAAAAACTAATGATGTTTCATTTCTGAAGAGAATTACTATAACTATGATTTTCAAAAACTTTTTCTGACACTTTAAGATGTATAGAATATGCTGTATAAAAGTATACATTTAATAACATCTTTACATAATATTACGTAAACCTACGAAAATATTTGGGTGCAGAAAAAAATTGGGTGCACAGCTCCAAATTTAGGTGCACTCACCCTGTATTTCGAGCCCTGATATATTTATAGATAACACAAACCTGGTAGGTTGCCATAGTCGCGGTAGATGCGAAAGTCCGTGTCAGAAGGAATGACGTTACTCTGGAACAGCTCCTGGGCAGTCACCGAGGCAAACGGATACTTCGCTGCCTCTGCGTACGCTCGGACCAACCATGGGTGGTCAGGACCTTCAGGGAGAAAAGAACACAAAATGATCATATATTGTATGAAATTGATATGAATCTTTATTGCATATTCCTGTCAGGATGGACTAAATGCACATGTGACCATACAGGGCTCGAAATTCATTTTTGGGAATAGGTGCACTGGTGCACCCAAGGTAAAAAATTAGGTACAGAAAAATTTTTTGGGTGCACCATATAAAACAAAACTTATTTATACATGTAGATCTTACTGCTCCTCCTCTGAGCTTGAATCTGAAATGGGAGCTAACTTCGAAATCTTAAGTACAAAAAACAAAGATTTTATTATTTTTCTGACACTTATATGGTAGGAATGTCCTGTGTACTATTAATATATATTATAATTTGATATGTACAAAAATACTACAAAATTATTTGGGTGCACCAGTGCACCCACAGAAAAAACATTGGGTGCACAGCTCCAATTCTGGGTGCACTCAGGTACACATGCACCCAGTATTTCGAGCCCTGCTTTCACCTTACCATCTACCTGCACCTATATAATATACATGTCGAAGCTGGTGTGTATAATATGCCGAAGGGCGGTTATACCGGCTATACAGTGTTACTGATACAGATACAGACATACTAATGATTAATACAGTTTGAATCACACACCTGTTTGAAACACGACCTCCCGCCCCCCGGCACCGGCCGCCTCCAAGTTGACGAAAGCGCGGATGTCGCCTGCCCAGGGATGCTGGGTAATGAAACCGTGACTCGCCTGCGGGAAAACGGAACATCAAAAACATTCAATAACTAGAGTTCAGCGTCCTGCAGTTCCAAAACAAGATGCTAGGGGGCCCAAACTCACATGACTTCTTCCCGAGGACAAGAGCTACCTATCATCCAAAATTCATGACCCTGGCATGTCCAGATCGCGAGATATGAAACCGGAAGTTGTGCTGCAGTACCAGGGGAAGCCACTAGGGTGCCCAAAATCTCATCATTTTCAGTTTTAGCCATGCTCTACCAACCCACCAAGTATGAAACCAATCCATCCAGCCGTCCTTAAGTTATCTTGTTGACCAACAGACAAACGGACAGACAGACGGACAGATAAGGTTCAGTTCTGGACTCGTAAGTCCGTCCCCAAACCCATGGCATATACAAAATTGCATGTTGGCAACCTTGCAATGTTGTATGGGCAAAACTGTGGCCACATAACATGGAGGCTGACACTTGACGATGCCCGATCATGGGCAATGTTTTCTTCATTTTGCAGCACAGAATTTGAAATCTATGGAACTTAGGAGATTTTAGGTGGTTTGGAAAGAAAAGGGGTACTAGTATGTGACATGGACTTGAACCTTAACATTTTTACTTACAAGTCCGGAACCGGTCTAGCAAACCAGTACACAGCACTATATACTGTATTTGTATTGATATCGTTCAAGATTTTTGTACCTGGAGGATATTTTCCTCTGCTCCGTTTAAGACAAAGATGATGGAGTTTTTGAGCGGGGTGTCAGCCTGGGACAGCACACGCAGAACTTCCAACATGGAGGCACAGCTAGCTGCATCATCACTGGCACCTATGGGAGATGAACAAAAAAAATTACAACCAAAATCGTAGACTAGATTTTGGATGGTTGATGAAACGTAAGCCTGGACATTCTTTGCATCTGGTATATATAGAGGGGGGCCTGCAAGCCTTTTTTTTTCCGTAGAGCATAATCGGCCGTTTTAATTCTACGTAGGGAGTAGACGGACCACTCTAATTCAACGTAGAGCATAATTGGTGCATTTTGCGTACAGCGTAATTTGCGTTTTGATTATACATAATGCGTTTTAGCCACTTGGAATTTATCGTAGAGCGTAATCGAGAGGTTTCCTGAATTCAGCGTAATACGTAGCCAGCTCTCAAAATTTAGCGTAGAGCGTTGTCAGGACCCCCCTCCCCATGCAGTCCCCCATAGAGATGCAATAACTGGATATGAGTTTCTTGTTTTGTTGTTTGAAAAAGGTAAACAAATTGAGACATTCATGCAAATATTTTCATTTTCTAATACTAGTAAGTTTGCTTTGTGAACTGACATACTGTGTAATTTATTGAAACATACAACTTCTCAAGCTTCTGAAATAACTCAGGTAATGTTACAAGACGTAACCTATATATATATAGCTAAGGCCACACCAATTTAATTTCTTGGTTAACGGATTTGCCCGCTTCATTTTTTTCAAATAAAAATTATTATTAAATTCACAATCAACTGCAAAATGCTCATATTTTTCCCTGAATAGTCGAAAACAGTCCTTTTCATCCTAGTTGTTACAGTTATTCCATTTTTCAATGCAATGGTATCATTAAAAGTTCAAAATTCATTGTTAAATTTTTAACCAGCCTGGTGTGTTGACTTCATGGCTCCTATCGTACCATTTTGGGCTATGATAGGATGCCTATAGGCCTGTTTTTATTTTTTCTCTCTCCCGCCCGCTCCTTTATTTTTCTAGAAAAATCTGTTAAGGCCACACCATTTTAATTTCTTGGTTAACGGATTCGCCGCTTCATTTTTTTCTGATTTGCAAATAAAAATAAAAATTTAGAATCAACTGCAAACTACTCATATTTTGCCCTGAACAGTTGAAAACAGTCCTTTTCATCCTAGTTGTTACAGTTATTCCATCTTTTAATGCAATGGTATCATTAAAAGTTCAAAATTCATTGTTTAAATTTTGAACCAGCCTGGTGTGGACTTCATGGCTCCTATCGTACCATTTTGGGCTATAATAGGATGCCTAGGCCTGTTTTTATTTTTATTCTTTTTTTGCCCGCCCGCTCCATTATTTTTCTAGAAAAATCTGTTAACCAAGAAATTAAATTGGTGTGGCCTAACAACTGATTTGGCACAGCAGTTAACTGAGTCACAAAAACAATGATTTGGGTTAATTATGTTCATGTTTTACCTGGCCCTCCCATGGTGGAGTCAAAGTGAGCGTTGATCATCAGACTGTGTCGACTCGGCTTCTTGGGCGACAAACGCACCACAATGTTAGTGATGTTGTCATAGTAGTGCGTGAACGAAGACAGGAAGTCCAGGGTAAAGTAACCTGCAAAAAAAAAACATTTATAATGGGCATATTCAGGGGTTTTTCTAGAAAAATTTAGCATGAGGGAGCAGATCGCAAGCATGGCAAGGAATAAAGTGACTGAGGGGGGATTTTTTAATAAGAATAACACTCACAAGGGTTCAATTTGGAAATTGGTATGAGGGAGCTGGCTGGTTACATAAGGGAGCAGCTCCCTTATTCCCCTGTTTAGAAAACCCCCTGATATTTGTCAACTAGAAACTAGAAAGGCAAAATATGCAAGCAAATTTGGCATACAGTATTTCATTCTAAATTTCTGTCACCCAACAATTCCAAGATCACTAAGGTCCAAAATAAAATTTCTCTAATTCAACTTCATGCAAGAATGAACCAAGGGTATCCAAAAGGGACCATTCTAAAATATCATATTTTCAAATTGATATACCATCAGTTTATCGTTTTCAGTTCCTTTTTCGTCTTCTTTTGTTGATGTTGCAAAATTGAGACCCAGGGGACTGGAGTCGAGTGATTATTTTGTGGCTCCAGCTCCTTCAAGTACCAGAGTTATCAACCAAGGATTGAGGTGTTCAAGAATTCATTCTTTCCTAGAACTACCGCAGAGTGGAACTTGCTGTCACCAAGTACAGTAGGGGCATTGTCATTAGATAGCTTTAAACAATGTCTAGAGTTAGATGTTCAAGTGTCTGGTATAACAAGTCGATCGGTGCGAAATTATTATATAGCCAGCTGCTGCTGCACTGTGTGCCTGCGAAGCTGGTGTGTTATGCTGAAGGGCGGTTATAGCAGCTATACAGATACAGAAGCTGGTGTGTTATGCCGAAGGGCGGTTATACCGGCTATACAGATACAGAAGCTGGTGTGTTACACCGAAAGGCGGTTATACCGGCTATACAGATACAGAAGCTGGTGTGTTTTGCCGAAGGGCGGTTATGTATACCGGCTATACAGATACAGAAACTGGTGCATTACGCCGAAGGGCGGTTATACCGGCTATACAGATACAGTGGGCCTTTGTTTTGATTACGGTAAGCAGAAGGAGAAATTTGTTTTTGCTATGTTTCCTCTTTTAAGCTATTTCAAGGAGGTTAACCTCCTTGGCTATTTGTTCAAACAAACAAAGCCAATGACCTGGAGCAGACGTCTGTCACCATGGTAACAGGTGCTTTGGCAGTCACCCTGTGGTGTTGGGTTACAGCACGGAGCAGCTGGACAGAGCAGCAGACCTCTGTAGTACCATGGAGGTCCCTTCTACTTCCATGGTAGTACTTAACATAAGATGAAAACATCAACGAGCCACCTTATAATAATTTTTCGCTCCTAGTCCTACCTGTTGGCCTTTGTACATCCACCTCTATCTTGTGACTAGGCTTGGCCGCTCGCTGTATTTTCTCGATCTCCCTCAGCAAGTACCCCACGGTCTGGACTTCGTTCTGGTAGGTCCCGGCGACCCTCGGCCCGAACGCGGTGATGGCGTCCAGGTGCCTCCGCGCCCTCTCCTCCGAAAACTCGGTCGCTGGAGTGTCGGCATCGGTGCGTGCAGCTGGGAGCTGTTTAGCGGCGATGAAGACGACGAGCAAAATTGCGGTGAAAAACACGGCGATGAGCGCATAAACCCGTTCTCCTAGCGCGGCTTTTTGTTCCGTAGCTCCGTGATATTTTGGATCGATGCCGCCGTTGTTCTGCAGGGATGTGTAAGAGTTGGAATGGGAGCCGGCATTTGCCGGTCCTCTTTGCCTCATGTTGACAGCCATCTTGAATGGACGAGAACTATAGGCCAGGTGTGGAGGGGATGAGTCCACATCAATTTAATTTTCAATACCCATTAGATACCTGAAAACATCTTTTTGTCCATAATTTATTTTAAGTACAAATATAAAATATCAATTATTTATCAATCCATGAATTGTTTGTCTATACTACAACATTAATTGCTCTTAATGGTGCAAGTAATTTACACGATTCCCCTAAATATAATGAAATATTCCTAAAAGACCGGGGAGATGCAATGACAGCATACAAACGTAGCGGGAACAAAATGTTCTTTAAATTTAGTGAATATTTTAAATGCAAACAAGTATGAGATATTCATTAAAACTACATTATTTACTTTTGGCTATATAATATGTTGTAAAATATTATCTATGCGGAGATTTTTTCGTTTGGACGATTTATATAAAATTTAAATGTACGCTTCCATGCTTTTAAAAGACAAGGGGCACTCGGAGGTATGGCTTGGTCTAGAATATGGTAGGACGGCCACGAAAGACGGCCACGCCGCTATTGGTCAATTTCTCAGCAAGCTACAAAACCTCCACGCTGCTATTGGTCGGGGTACCAGCTGCTGCAGTGAGGGATAGCTAGCGGTGGGGAGGGCTGCCGGCGTTTATCCACAGCTTTTAGGGGCAAAAAACGTCAACCTTTACGGCTATAATCACTCCACTTGGGTGGATAAGCCACAAACAGTCATTTGTGCGGCTCTTAGCTCTGGAAACCTTACAGGTAATGAGTGCGTGAGGGACTTGGGTCTAGATAACGTTACCAGTAAAACGCCGTACGGGAAAATTCCATGGGCCTTTCATAAATTATGTAGGGACCAGGTAAGCACCGTACAGGTGCTATTTGCGTGGCCCTTTCATCTGGGGACCAGGTAAGGCACCGTACAGGTAATATTTGCGTGGCCCTTTTATCTGGGAACCAGGTAAGGCACCATACAGGTAATATTTGCGTGGCCCTTTCATCTGGGAACCAGGTAAGGCACTGTACAGGTGATATTTGCGTGGCCCTTTCATCTGGGGAGCAGGTAAGGCACCGTGCAGGTGATATTGGCGTGGCCCTTTCAGTCTGGGAACCAGGTAAGGCACCGTACAGGTAATATTTGCGTGGCCCTTTCATCTGGGGAGTAGGGAAGGCACCGTACAGGTGATATTGGCGTGGCCCTTTCATCTGGGGAGCAGGTAAGGCACCGTATGGGTAATATTGGCGTCGCCCTTTCATCTGGGAACCAGGTAAGGCACCGTACAGGTGATATTGGCATGGCCCTTTCATCTGGGAACCAGGTAAGGCACCGTACTGGTGATATTGGCATGGCCCTTTTGTCTGGGGACCATATAAGGCACCTTACAGGTAATATTTGTGTGGCCCTTTCATTTGTGGACCAGGTAAGGCACCGTACAGGTGATACTGGCATGGCCCTTTCATCTGGGAATCAGGTAAGGCACCATACAGGTGATATTGGCGTGGCCCTTTCATCTGGGGACTAAGTAAGGCACCGTTCAGG